GTTTTAACAAATATTTTTGCAAAACTATAGCACCTAATGTTAAATATATGCACACTTTATTATTCAGATCAATCATTGTGTTTCATAGATGTTCTATTTCCTCCAAATAACAGCTATAGTGACTTTGTACACGACTGCACGGAGCCTTGATGTTAGAACTGACAAATGACATCAGATCTATACATCAGAGTTAAAATGAGAAACTATGCAAATTTAATGAAATGAAATACACAGATGGGTTTATTTTGGCTGCGATGGCTGGAAACATTACTGGTGATATGAACAGTAACAGTATGGTGTATTTTAAACCACACACAGGACATATGTACAATATATATATACACAAAACAGTCAGACACATGCAACAACTACTGGGGCTTCAGAAATAGTACCATACAAGGGGCTAGACCTAAGAGACTAATTTCAAGATCTACTAGAAACTGACCAAGAAGCTACTGAGCTAAATAAGTTATTATTCATATTATTAGTATTATAAAAAGTATACTCCTGACATCTTACAAAAACATTTAGTGATGTGTCTGGAGTCAATAATAATTTTAAATTACCTTCTACAGTTGTATTTTTTTTTTCTACAAATTGTGGCTTAACTTCGTATGAATGCATTTTATTTATTTTTTTACATTTAAGGTACTCGGCATAGGCAGACTCAAATCATACCTTCTTTATGACCTCATTTCTAAAGACTTTTTTTTTTTTTTTAAAGCCATCGTTATGCCCATAATAATAATTTACCCACACTATTTTAGTATAGGGACGATTCAATGTGTATGTATAAAATCCCATGTTTCTATGGTAGGCCTTACACTCTAATAAACATGTGTAGGGGTAGCACACGCAAAGTTGTAGCCCCGAACAGGTGAATAAATCCAAATTCACATCTTCTTTGATTTTTGCTTTCTGGATTTTCCTTTTTTAAAATCATGATTTGCGTAACATAAAAGACAAATCCAGCAGTAGTGTCACCTATAACAATTGTGCTACGTAAACTCAGTCTTCAACTTTATGAGCAGGTCTGCAGAAAGTCCAGTGATGCTCCACCGTGTTCTCATTGGCACGCTCACTCATGTGATGCACGCGTGTGTTCCGAATGGTGAAGCCCTGTTTCATTATGTAGTCCATCAGGTGAACCCTTAGGGACACCTCTTGGTGATAGTCACATGGTCCAAAGGTGAATGACACTTGGCAGTCTCTGGTGTCCATCATGTGTTTGTTCCACTTGGTGAAGTTGTTAGAAATACCTTCTAGCAGGGCATGAACCTTAGTAGTTATGGTTAGCTGCGTGATGATAACAGCAACAGGGTTTGAGTACTTTGACAGTTTCCGAGTGCTGGAGAGCTCCACGACCTGCTCAAAGATGTCAGGAGGGTACAGCGGCTTTGGATCGTTGAGGCACTGGATCAAAGGTTCGATCTGGTAGAAGTCCGCCTCTTTCCTCAGGAGGTCCGTCTCTGTGAAGTCCAAAGGAAGGGTAAGCTCAGATGTCCGCAGGAAGTTCAGGATGTACCGGAAAAGTGTTCCATCCCGGTCGATGAAGTAATTCCCTTGGGAATCGCGGGTTGTAGGGAAATCTCCTCGGAACATGGCTCCCAGCATGGAGTCTGGATAGCGCTGCAGCGTGGATAAACTGGTGGTGTATAGGTGGCCTCCCACGTTCAAGGTAACAGGAGTAGTCATCTAAAAGAAAAGAAAAACCTGTCAAGCTCATGCTATTGGAACTAGATATATATATATAC